TTCCCCTCTCTCCTCCTCTCTCTCTCCCCTTCCCCCCTCTTTCCAATCCCCCAATCCATTCTGATATGAAAGGCAGGCTTTTGATTGGAATTCCAGTATCTTATCTTGACATAGAGAATTAGTTATTACCTCAACTGTTCTCAAGATTAACCTGCCCTGAGCAATTAGTTACTTGGTGATGATGGACCTTGCATTAGACATATTACCATAACTGGATGCAGGAGATAAGGTGCTCTGGTTGAACAAATGTATCTCCTGCATCCAGTTAAGGATATTTGGCTGGGAGATGCTGAATCTTCAGAAAGGGCTTTAGTGCTGGTGGTCAATTTAAGAAAATCTGGAAACTGAGAAGAATGGCTGGAGATGGTCACTCAGAAACTACTTAAAAAAGGATCTGGAAACCTATTGCAAACAGGGTGGTGGGGGTGCCGGGTGACTAATCTGTTTGCTCAACAGACTGTGATTCTGCAGAGAGTAAAATGAGTGACAAATATACATATGGAATTTCATTTTCTGCAGCTAAAAGTTTACTTAATTTTTTTAGTAGGTTGTGACAGTAAAGGTTTTAAAATGTGAAATCTTTTTGAAACATCCTTCAGCTAATGATTGGATGTTTGAATTTTTCAATGATTGATCTCCACAGACATTGTAGCAAAATCTATTACAGATGTCATGTTGCCATTTTTTTTGGTCAAGTTTGGCACATCAATCATGACAGTGATGGAGCTATTCGTTTGAATTAAAATTACTCAACTAAAAAATGATTTTGCTCAGATACTTTCTCAATTTGGCGGCCAGGACATTGTACGTATTGTTGTGGTGTTCATTTTAGGGGGAGATGTTGTTGTAGTGGTAGTGTTACTGGACTAATGATCCAGAGGCCCAGGCTAATGCTTAGGGAACATAACTTCAAAGATAAAATTTGAATTCAGTCAAAAATACTGTAATTAAAAAGTTAGTTTAATGGCAGAGGTAGTAGGAACTGCTGATGCTGGAGAATCTGAAGAAGGGTCCAGACCTGAAACGTCAGCTTTCCTGCTCCTCTGATGCTGCTTGGCCTGCTGTGTTCATCCAGCTCTACACCTTGTTATCTAGTTTAATGGCAACCACATAACCATTGTGAATTGATGTAAATATCCATCTGGTTCATGAATGTTCTTGAGGAAACAAAATCTGTTGTCCTTCCATGGCCTACCTGTGAGTCCAGACCCATAGCAATATGATTGGCTGTTAACTGGCCCCTCTGAAATGGGCCTAGCAAGTCACTCTGGCAATTAGGGACAGTCAATACTGTTGGCCCAGCCAGTGATGTACAAATCTTGAGTGAATATAAAAACCTCCTCAGGTAATAAAGGCACTGAGTTCTTCAAACATTTTGGAACAAAGTCATTGAATTTCAAAATAAATAATACTGATAGTAAAGTTATAGCCCAAAATGCAATGAAAGATAACTGCTGCAGCTGTATTGTTATCATTGCCCTTTTATGTCCATCACATTAAACAGTACCAACTAAATCCCTCCAACATTCCCTAATAATGGTCCAATCTCTGTATTTGCTGTGAGGCTTCAGGTAAAACTCTAATTACATATATTCATATTTGGAGGCTCTATTAACATTAAGCAGCCAGGAACAAAGTGTATTGGTGGTGGGGTAATGTTTCCACCACTTTAACATTTTGCTGAATTCTGGATTGAATTAGAAGGTGTGTTTATTTGGGCTGCACCTTAGAGCTGTAAATCATTTAATAATTAAAGTTGATACCTGAACGATCAATTCCAAAAATCCGAAGCAAAATCAACGTAACTACCTGAACTTCAACAGTAGCTCATTAGTGAATTCTTCAGCTTTTTTTGCTTCACATCTTCTAGTATTTAAGATTGTATCACTCTAGATTTAGTTCCATTCCTGTTTAATTGTTAATCAGTTTGGCGGAACAGAGTTGAAGGGCTGTATGATACACTCCTGTTCTTATGTTTCTATGTTGTATTCCATATTCGCAGAAGTGAGCTGGAAAAAGTTCAGATTAAGTATAAAACCTTGTTGAGGTAACAGGCTTTTTTTTTGTACACGTACCTGTTTTAGTTACTGTTTTTGTTAAACTTCAGCATTGTGATTAAATTACTTTCCTTTGAAGTTATAGTGTGTTTTAGACTATCGATTATCTCTCCAAATTCCAGGTAATGTGTGAACAAACTAAATTATTTAACTGAAGGAGAGGCTGGTTTACTATACCGTCTATCATGTTATGGTGTCTGAATATGATTTATGGCTAATCTATTTCAGCTTTTATTGGTAGAGATAATAGTATGGAGACATTTGAAGGCATGACAGGATTTGGTTGCAGTTAATGATACATTACAGTCAAAGCTATGGGAGGGTAATACTACCTGGAATAGGTGACTAGAAGTGAATTACTAAGCTGTAATTTAATCGAGCAATTCAATGACGTCCTTGAATTGTTAATAATTTGTTGCCCCCGCGATGATAGCATTACTGTCCTGAACAAGTGAGTAGACTATGCTAGTTTACGTACAAATGAATTCTGTTCCACTATGATCCATATGCTTTAGGGAGTTGGCTAGAAATTAGGAGTATTTGGTATGTGCTCAAATTACAAAATTTTGCTTAGAAGTGCCTCCCAGGGATCCTTACTGAGGCTAAAACTTAAGTGAGCAAAACTGCACCAGATGACTTTTGACATACAGGAATATGAAGTCATCCACTTGGGCCCCAGGTAGATCAGTGCATTTTCTAACTAGGAATCTGAAAATAATGAAGAACAGAAATTTAGAGGATCTAGAACAGAAATATCAAAAAGGTACTGCTGGGTACAAAAATTAATTCTTTATTCTAAAGTAATCACTTGGTATTAATGATAACTTGCTTCCGTTCTGGCTCAATGGGTTCTGTAATGGCGAAGGTGTCAATGTGCAATCTCCAGATTCGCATGATGGCAGGTGGTGTTTGGAGAGTTGGGTAGATTTTTCTTTTCCTTGTGCATTCTGTCTTAGAAGTTTCTCAATGTATTCAGTACCTTCCCAAATGAACCTTCCCCATTTTGGTCAGTCACACAGCAGGGTCTCCCATTCGTCAGTGGGGGTATTTTCTCTCTGAGGACACCCCGAAAGTATTTATGCTGTCCTCCTGAGAGTGACCATTTTGAGCAAAGCAGTTGTTTGGGACTTCACTGTCAAGCATGTGAACATATGTCACAGCAGACCTGATTTTGAGTGATTAGTGTCTTGATGGTGGGCAACTTGGCTTGGGACAGGACACTGCTGTTAGGCGACCTTTCTTGCCATTAGTTTTGGAGGATTTTGTGAAAACACTCCTAGCAATTTCTCCTTGATGCTTTGTAGAGACTATTGTAAGGTCATCCAAGTCTCCAAAGCATTTGAGTACGAGAATCGTGGTAAAACATGACTTTAGTCTCTGTTCAAATCTTTGTCCTCAAGTACCCATTCTCTTTGATAGTCAGTGGAATGTTGAATTGGCACACTGGAAATGATGGCCAATTTTGTTGTCTGTCTGCTTTCATTGGAGGAGGCTTCCAAGATATGGTGTATGCTTGATATTTTTCACAATCTCGGTGTTAATCTTAATTGACAGGGGTCAGTTGTTTTGCTGAAGAACCTGGTTGGAAAAGAACTTTAGTTTTCTGGCTGTTTCACAAAAGGCTCATTTTCTCATATGATTCGATAAAAATATCGACAGTGGCTCAAAGTTACATTTCTGAGGGAATGTACACATAACATTAAGTGCCTATTGAAGCTTTATCCCTGAAGTTGGAGTTGTTTTGCTTCTGATTGAAAGCTGTGTAGGCCTTCACAAAATCGCTTGACACTGATATCAAATGCTTCTGAAGTGTTCTGCTCCAATTTGGCTGCCTTCAGAAATTTGTTACCATCCTCTGCCTATGCCCATCATGTTTGTACCAGCTCCTGAAAGAACTCCCTAGCTAGTCCCATTCTCCAGCTATCTCCATATCCCTCTAACTTCATCATTTTCAAACATTTATCCAGTACTCTTTGAAACCTAGTATGGAATCCACCTCCATCACACTCTCAGACAGTGTATCCCATATTACATCAGCAAGGCCACCTATGTGTGGGAATGCAGGAGGTGGATGAGATACTAAACAAGTATTTTACATCAGCATTTACTGTGAAGAAGGATATGGAAGTTAGAGAACTTGGAGAAATAAATAGTGATATTTTGAAAAGTGTCCATATTACAGAGGATGAGGTGCTGCATGAAGGTAGAAAAATCCCTTGGACCTGATCAGGTGTCTCCTAGAACTTTGTTGAAAGCTAGGGAAGTGATTGCTAGGCCCCTTGCTGAGATATTTGTATCATTGATAGCCATGGGTGAGCTGCCGGAAGACTGGAGAGTGGCTAATGAGGTGCCATTATTTAAGAAAGGTGGTAAGGAAAAGCTAGGGAACTATAGCCCAGTGAACCTGACATCAGTGGTGGGTAAGTTGTTGGAGAGGATTCTGAGGGGCAGGATTTAAATGCATTTGGAAAGGCAAGGACTGATTAGGGATAGTCAACACGGCTTTGTATGTGGGAAATCATGTCTCATTAATGTGATCAAGTTTTTTTGAACAAGTGTTGAAGAAGATTGATGAAGGCAGGGCAGTGGATGTTGTCTATGTAGACTTGAGAAAGGTATTCGACAACGTTCCACATGGTAGGCTGGTTACTAAGTTTAGATAACATTGAATCCAGGGAGAACTAGCCATTTGGATACAAATCTAGCTGGTTTAATAAGATTCAATGACTCTGCTTCCCTGCCTTTTCAAGAAGAGTATTCCAAAGATTCATGAGCTCTGTCTCATTTCTCTCAATTTTTCCTTATGTCTAATCTGTCAGTTTATAGGCTAGCTTATTGACCCCTTCAGCAGTGGTTGAGATGAACCACCACGAACGACGACTTGCAGTTACTTTGCAAGTGACAACTTTATATTAAACTCACTTGCTGTATGTCTTGTGCTAGTGATGGCGACCTCACATGACTAGAATGACAAAGACAGTCTTTATGATGCAAGCACTCACAGTGAGACTCCATCATTTGACAGGAAGAGAGGTGAGGCAAATATTGTTTCTGTTTATAGAATAAAGAGGCAATCTGAGTGTTCAAATTCTGAAATATGTGATTGAAGCTTTAGCACTGTATATCTGCATATGTTTTTATTTGAAGTGCAGTTTTAAGCTCACGAGTGTTTCTTGTTTTTATTTATATCTTTATGTATTATTTATTATATTTTAAAGAATCAGACAGCCAGACGAACAACATTTGAACCACTGTGCCTCTGCTGATGTTAGCTCTTTAAAAGAGCTATTCAAACAATCTCACACCTTGCACTTTCTGCACAGACCCGAAAATAAATAACCAGTTTTTCCTCCTCCGTAACCCATAGCTTTTGAAAAATTATATTTAAATCTACTTCTAAAACTCTTTTGGACAGTAAGTTTCAGGTCATAACAATATACTAGTTTGGAATTTTAAAAAGTCTGCTCATTTAAATGCAGCAATTCTTTTTATCAATTATCTTAACTCTGTTATCATTCTAGCAGTGGAAATATTTCTCTTTATTCCCTTCAGCAAAACCCTTCTAAATTTTAAATAATCTTAAGTCTCCCCTTAACCTTCTATGATCTGGGGAGAGCAATCCCAGCCTCTCTGGCCTTAACCTAACTGAAATTCTACATGTCTTGTAAATTTCGATAATTCTACTCTGCTTCCTCTTCATGTCCTTGACATTCTCCTGAAGTGTCATCTTTAGAATTGGCCATGATATTTCAGCTGAAATCTTTATAGTGCACCAGCATAACATTTTCGTTTTTATGCACCACTTGGAAATCCCCCCATCTTGCATGCTTTTTAATAGCTTTACCAACTTACACAGGATTTATTAATACTCAAAGATTTGTATATGTAAATCCTGAGTTTTCACTGATCCTGCATATTGTTTAAAATTGTGTTTGTTTTATACTGCTTCTCTACATTCTTCCTACTTTCTATAATGTGTAAAGTATGTACTATAATACAATGATATAGCATCTCTGTCATGTTAAGTGGTTATCACTGGGAAGAAGTTGGCTGTTGTAAACCATGAAAAATATATGTTGCTGAGTTATAAACCTGTTTAATCATGTAAATCTAAAGTTATGGCATACTGCAAGCTCTGTCTCATTGTCTTATGTGTGATTGACTTCAGTCCACCTTTTGAATTTAATGATTTAAATATCAAGTATAAACTAATTCCTATATTTCCTATATCTTTTGAACCCAATTTTTAGGTATTGTTGTTATGATTACTCACTGTCTCCACCTTTGCATCACCAATTAATCTAGTAATACATTCTATGAACAATGCGTAGTCGCTAAGTTGTTCCCAGATCCAATGCAAGGTAACTAAACTTTCTTTTTCTTTTTAAAAAGAGTCCTGGCAGGTATCTACATATCAGCCAACACCTTCTGAATCATCCCAGATGAGGCACTGAATCACCTTAAAGACACACTCGCCTTAGTGGCAAATCTTTAATCTGAAGCACAATCTCCACTGTTCGATTTGACACACAGCCTAAACCAATAGTTCTGTCTACTACTAAGGAACTGCTTCATTGTAACAGGTATGGTCTTACTGATGAGACGTTAAACTAGTGTTCTTTCAGCTTGTTCAGTTGCATGTAAAAATCATCCACTGTTTGAAAAAGTCAAGCAACATTTATCTTTCAACCTTCACCATGAAAAATTAGACTTTCAGATTGTTGTTTCTTTCAAATCAGGCTCTTCTATGACTGCATAATGCATTAGTTCACTAACATTTATGCCATCTTGAGCGTTTGATAAAAGATGTATACTTGATGTTCTCTACCTATTTAATGTAAATGCATTGAAAGAATTACCGTGTACCTTAATTGAATATTTTATCAGATTTTCATCAAATAGATTTGATTAGCTTCTTGATTGTTATTGAAAACAAACATGAATGTCAAACCTACCGCTAAATAGTTTACTTGATTATTGTGGACCTCATGGAATATTGATATCACAGAATGGTTACTGTGTAGAAGGAGGCCATTTGGCCTGTCTAGCCTACACTGGTTCCGTTGCTAAGCACCAATCTCCTGCCTTTCCCCATATTTTTGCATATCATTTTTATCCAAATGATCATCCAAATGATCATCCAATGTCCTGTTGAAAGCCTCAATTGAACCTGCTTCCATCATATTTCCAAGCAATGCATTCCAAGTCCTAACTACGTGCTGTGTGAAAAAGTATTTTGCACATCATCCTTGCTTTGTTTGCACGTCACTTTAAATCTATGCCCGCTTGTTCTTCTACCTTTTATAAGCAGGAACAGCATCTCCCTATCTACTCTACTCAACCCACTCATGATTTTGAAAACCTGTATCCAATCTTATCTCTGCCTTCTTCTCTCCAAGACAAGCAGTCTCAACTTCTTCAATCTGTCCTCATAACTGAAGATTCTCAACCCTTGAACCATTCCTGTAAATCACATCTGGTCTCCTTCCAATGCATTCTCATCTTTCCTGCAATGTGGCACCCACGACAGTATGCAGTACTCTAGCTGGGATCTAACAAGTGCCTTGTACCAGTTCAAGATCAACTCCTTGCTCTTGTACTCTATATCCTTAATAATAAATCTGGGAATAATACATGCTTTATTAATTGCTGTCTCCACCTGTCCTGCCACCTTCAATGATATGTGCACATATGTATCCATGTCTTTCTGCCCATTCACACCTTTTAGAATTGTACTCCCATTTTATATTTTCTTCCAATGTTCTTCCGACCAAAGAGCATCAACTTACATTTCTCTGCATTGAACCTCATCTGCCACCTATCTGTCTACTCTTAACTTGTCACTGTCCTTTTGGAGTTCCACTCTGCTCTCTTAACAGTTACAATTCTTCCAGTTTTAGAGTCATCTGAAAACTTTGAAATTGTCCCCTGTACACCATTAATATATAGATCAGGAAAAGCAGGGTTCCCAATATTTATCACAGGGGAGTTCCACTACAAATCTTCCCTCAGCCCCAAAAATATCCATTGACTATTATTCTGTTTCCTATCACTCAGCCAATTTTTTATTCACATTGCTATTAGAAAGGAGTAATTTATAACTTAGGGCATTTGGCTTTCTAATTGCTTTAGATTGTAGACTTACTTGGAGTATGAGTGCTAGATTTAGCCAGTATCAACGTGAGCACAGTTGTAGATTAACTAGTAAATACTTTTCCTTTTTTCATTTATGGAGTGTTGGCATTGTTCTCAAGGGTAATGTTTGTTGTCTAATGTAAGGTGGTGGTCTGACACCTGGAATTGTTGTAGTCTATCAGATAGGGAGTTGTAGGAGTGAGACTGAGTAATGATGCAGGGATGGGGACACAAATCAAGTGAGGATATTGTATGACTTGGAGAGTAAACTATAGATGTTCGTGTTCCCATCTATCCAGTGCCCTTGTCCTTCTGTGTGGTCGAAGTTTTGAATTTGCTTCTGAAGAAGTTTTGTGAGTTGAGTGAGCATCTTGCAGATGTGGTATGCCATAGCCATGGTGCCACTGTGGTAGAGAAAGTAAATGTTTAAGGTGGTAGATGGCATGCCTATCAAGTGAGATGAATTTTCTTAGATTAGATACACTTGAATGTTTCTAACGCTACACCTATCCAGGCTCTGCGCTTGTGCTTTGTGAAGCCTTTGAGAGTCACGAGGTGAGTTGCTTTCCACAGAATTCCCAGCTTATGAACTGCTCTTGGAGTTGCAGTATGTTTTGTGCTTGATTAATTTTTTAGTTCATGTTGACTGCCAGGGTATTGCTGATTGGAGCATTCAGTGATGGTTATGCATTTGTATCAAGGGAAGATCATTAGTTTCTCTCTTGTTGGAGTTGGTCATTACCTGACATTCGTGTAGCCTGAATGTCACTTGTCACTAATAAACCCAAACCTGAATGTTGCCTATGTCTTTCTTCCAGTGGACTACTTCATGATTAGAGATGTGAATGGAACTTGTTACAAAAATCAAAATAATCTTGCATCTGGGTGGAGGCTGAGGATTGCAATTCCTGGCAGGCCTGAGACTTTCAGCGCATGTGCCAGCACTGCTGTGTGACAGGTTGTGCATGCTCCATTCAAGTTTCTTTTTTTTTAAACAGCCGAGGTTCTGCCATTTAAAGATAATAATGAATCTGTGTTGTGTTTTGGTGCTAAAAATAGAACAGTGCTGGGACCCGATATGGCACCATACAAGACAGAAGAGACTACCACAGGAGTCCAGTGGAAGATAAACACTATGAGGAGAAGCTAACAGGAAGAGGTCCTTACTGAAAAGATACTGCAGCCAGTTAGGTCTCAAAGAAGCCCTTAGCTCATCAAGTATAGTGCATCTAAGAGTTGGAATTAGGACTCAGGAGTACTCGGGAAGCTGTTTATTGTGGTTGAGTCTCAGGAGAAACCTCAAGCTGAAAAGGCTGTGGAACATCACTGGTTAACTGCTGCTGGCCACTGGGGCAAAAGTAGCAGTTATGAACATTGATCTTCTACTCAGCATGACTACCAATTAGAAATTTTCTGGGAATTGGTGCTGGCATGCAGCTTTGGGAACCCAGGAGAACACAGTCTTACGAGATGAGACTGAACCACCGTGAGGTGAGCAGTCACTGAGGTTGTTTGAGTTAGAGTGGACTTTGGAAGTAATTCAGAGGCTTGATCTTTGGATATAAAGAGTTGAGATTTTTCAAGAGAGTGACAAAGAGATTTTTGTTTGGTGGCTAGTTAGGTTGCTGACAAATCTGTGTTCTACCTTGCATGTCAATTGGCATTGTGAACAACATTGTGTGCCCAGCCTCAGTTTTCTTGTTAACTTATTTACCTCTTGTTAAGTTTGGATATTACAGTATAAGATAAATATTTTTGTTGTTAAACTTCCTGACTTTGTATCGCAAATTTATTTTGTTTGTTTAAAAACTGGGAGTCATGTGGCTTTATTGTACTAACAAAATGGATGATAAATGTATTAATAAGAGAGGAGCTTAGATCAGAAAAAAAAACTGTCTGAGTGGAACTAAAAAGTACAGCAAGGGGCAGCAGACATTGGTTGGAGTTATTTATAGGATGTGAAATAATCAGGGTAGTGGGGGTGATGGTATTAATGAAGGAATGAGGGAAGCATGTTGCATGGACAACACAGTTAGCAATTAACCAAATGAACTAATTCAGCACTAAGTTTGTAGAGAATGAATTTCTGGAGTGTCTAAGGGCTGGTTTTCTAGAGCAGTATGTTGAGGAGCCAAACTGGAGGACGTGTTATTCTAGATGTCATATGAAGAAATTATCAACCCTGCAAAAGAATCTTTAGGAATGAGTGACCGCAATACCATTGATTTTACTTTGTTTGAAAGTGAGGTAGTTCTTTCTGAAGTAAGACTTTTAAAATGGATGGGAAAATATGAAGGCATGGGGCACAAACTGGCTGAAGTGAATTTGGAAAATACTTTCAAAGCCATATTGCACATAGATAATTGATAGCCTAGTAAAAACTATTACATGACTTACAGAACCTGTGCATTCCTTATAAGGTGCAAGAATTTGAAAAAGATCAATGTCTGCTGCCCTTTACTGTAGTTGACAAAGAACATTCAGGACTGTATACGATTAAAAGCAAAGGTCCCGAAAGTTGCCAGAAAAAGCAATAATTCTGAGGTTCAGGAGTATTTTACAGTACAGCAAAGGAAGACCAAGAAACTGATGAGGTAAAGAAAAGTAAGAACATGAATGCAAAAGCAAAAAACATAAAAATGGGCTGTAAAAGCTTCAGGAGGTACATAAGTAGGAAATGTTTGGCTAAAACAAATGTGGGTCCAATGCATGTGGAGTCGGGAGAATTTATCATTGAGAAGAGAGAAATGACGTGGAAGCTAAATTATTAGTTACTCTGTATTTGTTTTCAGTGGGAAAAATACAAGAAGTCTTATTTGAAGGAAATTTAATATAAGAAGATTATACTGTAGAGATTACTGGGGTTGAAAGTTGATGAATCTCCAGGAACCGCTATTCCATATCCCAGAGTGTTGAAGGAAGTGGCTGGAGATAGTCAGTGCATTGGTGATTATCGTGGGACAGGCATTAATGTATTGGCATGAATTAATGATTGGCTAACAGATAGAAATCAGAGAGTGGGAGTACAACGGGATCTCAATCAGATGGGCCAATGGGCTGAGGAGTGACAGATGGAGTTTAATTTAGATAAGTGTGAGGTGCTGCATTTTGGAAAGGCAAATCAGGGCAGGACTTAGACACTTAATGGCAGGGTCCTGGGAAGTGTTGCTGAACAGAGAGACGGTGGAGTTCAGGTTTATAGTTCCTTGAAAGTGGAGTCCCACGTAGACAGGATAGTGAAGGTGGCGATTCGTATGCTTACCTATATTGATCAGTGCATTGAGTATAAGAGCTGGGAGATCATGTTACGGATGTACAGGACATTGGTTAGGCCACTCTTGGAATACTGTGTGCAATTCTGGTCACCCTGTTGTAGGAAGGATGTTGTGAAACTTGAAAGGGTTCAGAGAAGATTTACAAGAATGTTGCCAGGGCTGGAGGGTGTGAG